ACCCTAACCCTAACCCTAACCCTAACCCTAACCCTAACCCTAACCCTAACCCTAACCCTAACCCTAACCCTAACCCTAACCCTAACCCTAACCCTAACCCTAACCCTAACCCTAACCCTAACCCTAACCCGAAAGATTTAATGAAGTCCTAGAGACTTATCTCCGTGCCTACTGTGCCTACCTGCAAGATGACTGGGAGGAATGGCTCCCTCTTGCCGAGTTCGCTCATAACAATCATGATTCAGAAACAACAGGGATGTCCCCCTTCTTTGCTAACTATGGCTTCCACCCCCGGATGGGTATGGAGTTCCCTGTCTCGCCCCCCAAAGATGAACCGGCCGCCAACTTTGTGCGGAGACTGCTCGAAATCCACCAGAGACTGCAAGAAGAGATGCACTACGCCCAGGCCAAGTATGAGGACTCTGCTAACCGACGACGAACCCCCGCACCTCGCTACCAAGTTGGGGACGAAGTCTGGTTAAGTAGTAAGAACATTACCACCCGCCGACCTACCAAGAAGCTTGATTCTCTATGGCTGGGTCCTTACCCTATTGTACAGGTGGTTAGTCCACTAGTCTATAAGCTCGAATTACCTTCAACGATGAGAATGCGCCCTGTTTTCCATACTAATCTCCTCCGCCCTGCCGCCACGGATCCGCTTACCGGCCAACGGCCTGAGAATCCAGGCCCCGTGATTGTCGATAACCAGGTAGTTTACCGGGTTGACGAGATACTTGATTCGAGGAGGCACTACGGCCACATTCAATACCTGGTAAAATGGAGCGGTTGGGATATTAAGGATGCAACGTGGGAACCCATAGAGCATGTCGATGGATTAGACGCGCAGAAGGAGTTCCATGAGAGTTACCCCGATAAACCTGCACCTGCACCAGCACTGCGCCGTTCAGCTCGCAGGAGCTCGCGGCTTGAAAGGGGGGGTAGTGTCAGGATTCGGGCTCGGAGTGATCACGTGATGGATCATTGCCGCCCCTCACCGCCTGTAGATAACTTAGATTCGACCTTCGAGTCGCACTGTTTTCTACTTCTTCAAGCGACGTCTTCGTCAATATGTAATCCAATTGTTAATCCATTCTCATGCCGTGACAGCTTTGACCACGTTCGACAGAGCCAGCAAGGTAGCAGAAACGGCGCAAGTTGCTCATATTGATGATATCAATCAAGCCTCCAATCGCGAGGTCTGATGTTGCTTGAAAGGTATGCGTCTGAAGACAAGACGCGAGCTTCTGGCTTAAGCGTGAAAAGATATGTTGTATGAGAAAAGATTATTTGTCTGCATCAGGAGAGACAGAGGAGATGTCCTGCTTCATTGCACGAATGCATAAGAGAGTACCAACCAAGTCAATCTTTACCAATAAATACAGATTCGGGGAACTAGAGTTAAAATTCATCCTGAGGTAGCAAATTATTATCTCATTTGTAACACTATGCTGGGATGACAAGATATCGAATGTCTATAAATAATTCCGATTCGAAACTTTCCAGTACACTTCAAGACCTGCTTTTGGAAGAAATATTTAGAGAAGACTATAATACAACGGTGTCACATTGACAAAAATAAACAATATAAAAAAAATCTCTCGAGGAAAAAAAAAAGGCCCACCAGATAATGCTTCAGAGTCATAAGTAACGACAGTAGTACAATTCAGAAAACGAAGACGCTAGCGACTATCAGACAGATAAGAAAGTCTGTGACGAAACTCATTTGCAGACTGAAATAAGCATGACAGCCCCTGCAATGTTCAAACATATGAGATGGATGTGTCGTAACCGTCGCCATATATCACACTGTAATTATGGCTTTTGCAATTGTTCTTTGCGGAAAAACATGAAGCATAGGACATTAATCGAGAGCATAAACAGCAGGCAAACCCAGAAGTTTGCCTTGGTGAGTCCTGCTCCTACCCCTGCAGAGAAGTCCGGAAAGACATCTCCGGGGCCCAGCTTGTCTGGTGCTGTAGCGCGTCCGAGAATTGTAGCAATGGAACCGACGACTTGGGCAGCGAGAAGGGTGAAAGTGATGTGGAAGCGCGTCAATGTATTCAGAAGAATCATGCCGAAGCCTATATGGCGTCAGTAACGAATGATCGCTTTCCTAGGTTAATTCCATCATGGGCAGATACTCACCGACCCCTTGAAGAGAGTCAAGCACGCCTAGCCAAAGCCAGAGACCTCGTCCAACGAGAGCACTTGCAACCGGTCCACCAGCCCATGGGACATAGGCTCCGATATTGGATGTTGACCACAATATTTGCGCCCAGCGCGGGGCACCAAGTCCGATAGAGAATATCGGGATAAACCAAGCATGTCTCTTTGAGAGCGTGCCGAATATCCAAAGGACTAGTGCCCATACCAGAATGAAGAAAAACAGGACCAAAATGATAATCTCCCATGGCTTCGCGTGCTGACTCGTCCAGAGGTACATCCAATTACGCCCGTACGGCGGCGAAAGCCAGTAATTCTGGACGAAAACCGCATAGAAAAACCACTGCGGAGAGTCAGTCATCATAACCATCTAAGTAGTCCAGAGACGTCCACATACCAGCACGATTTTCCGGCGAAACACTGACCGGTAAAAGGTGGGCACTTCTCCGGGTACTTGTCGGTAGTACTCGGGCAGTCCGAAAAAGAGCATAGCTCCGATTATCCATAAAAAGCATGCGACAGCGATTCCAACACCAATCAACACATGCGGACTTGAATTTACTAGGCTGTACTGCGTGGAGCCGTGCTGGTTCACTGAAGCCATCCAGCTTCCCCAGTACCAGAGGAAGCTAACGAATATCTGCTGTGTTCCTTGAACCACACATGCCCGATAGACCCAGGAGGTCGTGGATGCTCCACCTAGTTAAAGAATTAGCGCATGCGAAGCAGCAGATAAACGTTATCACCAACCTTCGTCTCCAAAGTTCAGAGAAAAGAATATAGATCCGCTTGAAGATGCGAACGCGTAGAAACCCGTTCCCATATTCTGAATCCAAAACCGGCTGGTGCTGCTCGTGGCCGCAGGAGCCAACCCAACAAAGAGGAAAGCCAAACCGTAGAGCTATCGAATGTCAGTCAAAACTAAGCAAAATAGTTGTATAAGGTGGCCTACCAAGAATGGAATAGAAAGAACGTAAACAGATTTGAGCATGCGGAACGCTGTCCACCACATGACTGACGATATCAGGTAGATTGTAGCAACGATGTATAACTTGTCGGCGGTCTGACCAATCTCACCATTCAACAATGTAATTTGATATGAGTTGGCAGCGATTATCTGACCCTGTAGTAATGTAAGCTTAAGATATGGATGCAGACGGGATAATTACTCACGAAGGCAAGGAGAATCGAATAGAACGGCCAGTCCCCGATTCTCCGCAGAAGAAGGCGCCTGAGACCAGACGGCGGAACGTAATCCTTTGGAAGAAGGAACTCATCTACAACTCGTTCCTCTTGAAAAGAATCACGGTTCGGAGTCTGAGGTGGGCTGGCGCCGTTGATCTTCAAGCGAAAAACAGACGAGGCTGGAGTACTAACAGGAGACTTGCCCAATTTGACATCACGGTATCGGTTGAACCAATCTTTCTCGCTCTTCTCAAGATATTCCTCAATGCAAAGCTGGTCCTCCGAGTTCTTCCCGTTGAGCTTTTCAAGCTTCCGCTGGAAGTTTCTCGCGTACTCGTTGTTCGCGTCGGTGAAGAATGGGCTGACTTTCTGAAGGTTGTAGTTTTGCTTTTCTTTTACAATTCCTTCGACGCTGACAAGGCTCATGCTAGAAGATTGACGGTTTCTAGCTGAGAGAGGAGGATTTAGCAGACTGTCGTCAGTGCTAAGCCTGCTTGGCGTATTGATGCCGGGAGGAGTAAGAAGGCCTGAGGACGTGTTCATTCCAGAAAATGCGACAGGCGAGTCAGGACGAGAATAAACGACGCTGTCCCCTATATTTGAGGGAGGATCGCGGTCGTCGGAGGGATCATCCAGAGTAAATGCGATTCTGCTCTGCAGATGCCGCATACGAGCCGGCCGTGGTGCTCCAACTTCTTGGTCGCCGTAGTAAACAGTGCTACCGTCTTCGTCCATTGATTCCTCTTCTGCAGTGGAACTGGCCCCTGCAGTGACTTGTGAGTTGATCCTCCTGCTTAACCTGTTTCTGGTATGGCCTGGACCTCTTCTGTATCCGAAACGTGACATATCTGGAGACATCGAGTCTGCAGGCGGTGTTTGAGTTCCACTGCTCCGTGGACGACTCGAAAGGCTGTCTGGTGATGGCACCAGGGTGGTTGCAGAGTACCTCCAGAACTGATTATCGGCCTGCTTGGAGTATTTCCTGTGCTTCTCGATCGCGGTGGACTGCAGGATTTCGAGATCTTGCACCCACTGCGCTACCGGAAAACGCTGTTTCCCTGAGCGGGCACGCATAATTGCACGTGTCTCAGGCTTGGAGCTTAAGGCTTCATTGATGGCAAGCTTGAACTGGTGGATCAAATGTTTTGTCGTCATGGATTCGCTAAAAGCCGTCAGCTTGTTCGCCGGATCGGACCCAGAAGAGAACTTACATCGTGTACCACCACCCAGGCATCTGTCCCAGGCCACCAACGCTGTCGACAAGTCAGAAAGCAGAACACAGTTTACGAAACAAGAAATCCTTACCGCGACCCGACTCCGAGGGCTCCCTTACGACCAAACTCCACCGCCACCAGACCAAACGGTTCATCTCTTGACGGTATTAGGGCGAATTCAGCACCACTGAAAATAAATGGAGGTAAGGCCGTGAATTCAGGCTTTGAATAAACCCGTCCAGGATATAACTCCATCATTTTCTCCAATTTAATCGCTGCAAACTTGCCATATAAGTCGATGACTGGTCCGACACAAATGAGCTGAACGTCGGGATGACTCTCTAAAATAGACGGGAAGATGTCGGCAATGAGGTCAATCCCTTTTTGCATGGACCAGCGACCAACAAACACAAAGAGTTCTGCATCGGGGTTCACTTTCAAACCAGCCCATTCCTGTGCCTGTCGCTTGTAAATTCGCCTCTTCGCTTCGAATTCTGGATCAACATGAACATCCTTCTGGGTGACATTGTCACCTCTCTTCCAGTCGGCAGTATCTGAAGGATCAGGATTTGGTAATGACCCAATTTCCTTTAGGCCCCAGAATATTGGGTAGCGGGCGTATGATCTCTTGCCGTATTTCTTCGAGACGCCGACTGCCCCAAATCCATTCTGATGAATCTGTAAATAGCTCACCGCGGCATGCAGGAGGTTGAATACATCCCCGAACTGGATATATTTCTTGACAATTGCTGGATCAAGATTGAAAACCTGGCAGACCTCATCACATTCCCTTGCTGTCCTCATCGGCCATAGCCCTTGAAACTCAGCGTTATGGAGAGAGAGACAACAAGGAATGGTGTTTGGAAGCAAGTGTAATGGAGCAGCCGCACCATGGTAATCATTAATGTGGTAAAGATCGACGGGGAATCTCTTGAGGGCCTCCGCGATACAGGAGTTCCAGGCAGAGTAGTAGATGGCAGAGTCAAGGTCGTCCATTCTCGGGGGGTACGGATCTGATTTGGACTGTTTTCGGAAAACAGGAGCATCCAGGAGGACATATGTGATGTTCCGGAGAACATGGTATTGGACATCGACCTGATATGAGTTGCCCAGTATGGTAATTATCATTGGATCAGCCTTCTGGTCGATAGGGTAGTCGATATCTCCAACACATGGCACAACCCAAATCAGGTTTTGATGACCCAGGTTTTTAGCCATAAGCTGCGCCATGACTCCTAACCCGCCGATCTTGATCTTTATACCCCAGTCTTCGATGTCGTACTCCATGGTTGCAATGAGCACAGTTCTGCGGTTATCCGCGTTGGCAGCGGGAGGCGCTTCGTTGAATTCGGCTTGCTTCCGAGGTTTGACGAGTTTGGTTACAAATGCTAGGACCGGCTTCAGAGAGTGTAGCGAGATTGATTCCGGATCACGATTCGCTACAGAATTGCCGGAGCGGTGGAAGATTGACTTCTTCTCGGAAACACCGACTTCGTTGAACTTCACTTGATAGAAGGCTTTCAGATAGATCCACACAGCAGCCGCAGCAGCACCCAGAGGTATGACCGCCAACAGGATGAAAAGCATCATCTGGACCACCTGTGACCCAACGGGGGTGGCATAGACGCGCAGGTTGCCATCATCGATCGAAAGCATGTATGCAAGCTTAGGCCAGGGAGGAGGGTTGGTGACATTGAAAAAGTTGCTGAGCAATGTGATCGGTGGAACACGGTCAAGAACATGGTCTCCGTCAATGTCACCAAATGCCTGAGTCTGGTCAGGAACGCCATCTGGGTCCATGCCCCAAGCATTAAATGATACTTGCGCCGGCCATTCCGACATAAAATGAATCTCCCATCGACCGGTAATATTGCTCAAGCTCATCTGATTCTGGTAACCAGAATCATAGCCGAATTGGTTGAATGTTCCTTCAATCCAGAAATTCGGAAAGCGTCGTGGTGGGTTGTAGGTCCAATCTGCGTCGCCATGCTGGTAATGATCACTACTCGCGGCGATCTTGCTCCAGTATTGGACCATGATATGCTCACCCGACCAGGCCTGAGCTGGGGTTCCAGTCCAATTCTTGGGAGGGATGGACACGTTACCGCCCTCGTATGGCATCCAGTCGCTATATGAGGAGCCAAAGTCAAGCGTATACCGCCATAAATCTGCACCAGGGGCCTTGTGGGCGACCCACAAAGTCCCGTCGCCGGAAGAGTCCTGGTATAGAAGAGTTCGGCTATAGTTCGCAAGTTGCGGCCACACTATTGGATTGTCTGTGTCTCCAATCCGAAAGATGAAATGGTCCACGGACTGCCAGAGTGGTTAGAATATGACAAGTGAGAGGATTATGAGAACTCACGTTCGTTGAGCTATTTCCGTACTTATTGCTGACGTTGTTGACAGTTATTTCATGCACCCCGTGGAATACATTCACAAGCTCGATTTCGTAGTTGTAGACACTAGTCAGAGCTCCGGGCCAGGAAGCCACTTGAGTTTCAGCAATCGGACCACAGGAAACCGTGCTCGTGTTGAAGCGGGCAACCTGGTTGTCGAGGGCGGTTGACTGGACAGTCAGTGATTTCGTGATGCTGTCACAATCCATCTCTTGGGAAAATTGGAAGCCGATCTTGACTGTCTCGCCCGTTGAGACCCTTGAAAGCAGGCGCGCGTCGTGGCCTGGAGTGAACTTGGTGATATATGGCGTTGGGCCAATGAACTTATCTTTAGGAACGAAGGCTTTGAACCCCCAGGCAGGTATCGTCATTTGTGGCAGGCAACCGTTGAACTTTTCTGATCCCTCCAGTCTGCTCAAGTCAATACTGATGGTTATGAAACCACGGAAGTAAACGTACCCAAGTTTCGTTGAACTGTTGACCAGCGTATACTCGTCGAATGGTGGAAACAGGTTCTTGACCGTCGTTCCAGCATCGAATGGCGAGATTAATGGATCCTCCCCCGTGCAATTGAACTGGTAGTCGATCGTTCGATTGTCATTTTGGTACACCAGCCAGACGGTCTGATTTCCCTGGCCGATACCGGTAAAGTCCTGAACGCCGACAAACCTCGATCGCATTACACTCCACATGCCGGTCTCAGTGGGTGTTCCACCGCTGCCCGGTAGATAAATGTTGTATGTTTTATTCGAAAGCTGCTGCAGATAATACCCGTCGTTTAGTACAGGGTAATTCTGGCGTATCTCAAACATAGTTTTGAGAATGCCGCGTATAGGATGAGACGGATCGCGGTGGTCAAGGCTGGTACTATCGTCGGAGCATCCGTTCAGGGCCCTGTCGAGGGGGAAGTCGTAGTACTTCGATGCGCCAACGCGGTAACATCCGTGTAGCTGCCATGCTTGCGCAGATGACATGGGGGAACGACCGAATACTATAAATGGTTAGTGAAAATGAGAATTCGATGTCGTAGGACCAGGTGCTTACAATAATTGTCGTCCGTGTTATCCAACAGGTAAAAGTCTTGCTCCTCACCCCAGTTGAGTAGTGGTGCGCCGGGCATCAACAAGGTTACTATATAGAGTCCCAAGACCTGCTTTTCGGTGCCGTTCTTGATGGCTGGCCACCGGAAGACATCCTGATTTGATGTTCCATATAAATGCCTTGGGTCGAACTTCCCAGTATTCGGATTCACCATGTCATTCGTCTCAAGTAGGCCGTTCCATGTGGCGATGAAGTTCGGTGGGGGGTCACCTTCGGCGGCATATAGGCCATCCAGCCTTGAGAAAGATTAGAAGACTATCTCTGGATCTGCGAGAGAAAGGAACACCTACCCAAGGAATCGACACAGCGCCCGATAGAAGGTGTAATGAAACGCCGCGCCATCCAATGCTGACTGCTCAGCAGGTCTCAAAAACAAATCTGGGATCGACTTGTTTGTCATGGTGACGGCTTCAGTCATGTTTGGTACCGTCTGATTGGTCTGATGCCCGCGACCAATATAGAGTGCGCCGAAAGAATTGCCTGATACGATTTCTCCCGGTATGTAAAAGTTCTCTTTCCCATACTGGCGCGCACAATCACGGATGTATTCAGACCATTCACCAAGAGCATCAAGAGTCACCTGGATACCTTTGTCGATACGATATCCGTCGATATCAAGCATGGCGATGGTGAGGCAGGAAAAATGCTTGATTTTTTGGAGGACATCTGGTCGCCACTCTCTCAAACGATCCTGGACAAAGGCGAACTTGGCTATTTGTGCCTGCCACTCAGTATAGTTACCGAATGATGGAATCTCCCCGTACTGAGACAGCATCAGCAAAAATACTGAACAAGGATAGAAGGTTTTAACACGGATGAATACCTGGTCAAACTCGCTATTTCGGCAACCAGCTACGAGAGTAGTATTGGTGAGTCCAGAACCATCATCCTTCCAGAATCGTGGATATTCCCATTCACACACATCCATCCAGTCGTTTCCTGGTTGGAAATCGAAATAGCGACGGTCATATTTCCACACGTAGTTGTACTCGTAGGGGTTGATGGGTGCCGATGTGTTTAGGTAGCCTTGGAATCCAATGAGATCCCCGAGCCTTCAGTCTGTCAGCGACAAGTTTTTTTATATTCGCAGTTGGTTGCGACCTACGTCCCGAAGGTGTTATCCAACAAAATGTACATGCCACGCCGGTGGGCCTCAGAGATCATTGTGCGCCAGTCATCGAGGGTACCGTAGTGATGATCGAGCAGGGTCAAATCGAGCGGTGAATAACCGTCCGCACCCCAGGGCTCATTAATAAAAGGCGTTCCAGCCAAGTAGATTCCCTATATCGCCAGAGTAAGCGTCTGGCAAGCGCCTTCTTCCGCGTCAAAGTTTCGTTCCCACCTTTATGCCCATGCCTTGCAGGTAGTCGAAAGTATCCATCAACCCCCGAACGTCTCCTCCATGGCGGAATTGGTTGGATGTTAGGTCGTGTTCCCACTGTGTGCCATTTGCGTCGTCGTTGGTAGGGTCGCCGTTGACAAATCTATCGAGGAAGATCGTGTAAAAGGGAAATCGCCAGTTCTCTGGAGACGGTTGATACGTGTGGTCTGGCCATTCACCCCAATATTCCAACGGATTCGTCGCTGCTGCATTTTGGTTCAGGTTCCAGCTGGTCTGTTCTGGGTCATAGGGAAGCGCAGATACTAAGACACCTAATAGTGCAAGAATCGAAAAAGACCTGGCTAATAGGTTGAGGAGCTTCATTCCGCAATGACCTTCACCTGTACAGCGCTCTTCTTCTCCTGGAGAGGAAGAAGAAAGATGTTGCCGCTGAAAGATTGTTCGAACGGCAAACAGCCTTTAATCCCCTTCTGTGCCAGCAACGATAGGATTACAAAAGGAAAGAAATGATACTTGCAGAGGTTATAGCAAGGTCAAGACATCGAATTTCGTATTCCTCTTGGCGGGAGAGTGTCGAGAAGAACGAAGAAATCGTGGAAAGCCACAGACGCAAGAGATGACTTACAAGCAGCTGATGTGTTTGAATGGCCAACGAGCAGCTAGTGGGAGCCTTCCCCGCGGAGTATATTGCGTTCGGGGGTCTGATGCTTTCTATTCTTGTCGCGCCCTTGAAGAACTAGTGCGTTGTCCTATAATATTCGTCATTGTTTTCGCTAATCTGTAATGTCCGCGAGCTGCTGCTGGACGGCTGACTGTTTTAGGTACTATGTTTACTGCGCCGCGGCTGCGGGGTGGCTGGAGATCTCCTGGCTGAGCTAGGGTCATGATACTATTAGCTGCGCTGCTTCATGGTACCTTCATGTTTGGCGATATGTGTAATGCTGTCTTCTGATAAATCTGATATTGGTGCCCAGGCGAGCCTTGCGTGCTAAGGGTGGATGGCGCCGCAGCCAAGTGGAGCTTCATGCATCGATCTGGCCAGCGAGAGTGCCAGCATCAACCTCTTGTGCTCGAATGGGTAGCCTAGAACCGTCGGATTCAGTGCTCAGCCTATTGGCATCTTTCCTAGTGACAGGCTACTTATCGTTCGCCATGCATCTACTGCCCAATTAGGCGCAGTTTCCGAGTGTCGAGTCGATTTGTCGTCCGTCACTCGGCCTAGCTGGGATTATCGGAATTCCGGCCGGCGTCCTCAGTCCAACAATCTACACGGCTTCCAAGCGGTCTAGCGAACGGCTCGCCAACAATAATGGCACGGCCGGCCGACGCAGACAGCCAGCCATGTGGATCACTACATCGGAATGCCGGGTCCCTGATTGACGGCCCGCCTGCTTCAAGCTTCAGCCAAGTGGATCGGCCTCAGCAGGGAAATGCGATCAGCCGCTAAGATCCGACTCCTTGGACATCGTGGATAGGGCTGGCAGTGCTCGATACGTGGCCGATCATGGTCCTTACATATGGTGATACAAGGTAATACCGTGAAACAAGATAACGCGAAATGACGGTATCTGCACTATTGCCTCGCCAACGTCATAGTAATTGTCCGGCATCATGATAACACACCAGGAGAAGGCCGCTGGCACGCACAGCCGATCAAGGCGCAGTCTAGGCCTCTTTTATAAAAAGATATATAGATAGATGGATACGGAATAAATACGGGTATTGTTCTCTGCGTCGTTGATTCTGCGTTTTGCTGCAATGAAGATGCGAGGGCATCAGCCTCAATCAGTGCTGCTCGGGACGAGACAGCGGCTATTGCGGATCGACAGTGCAAATCCTATTTTTATTGCGTTTCCGCCTCCATAATGGAACGCTTGCGAGGCTGAGTACGAATATGTAAAAGTGCCTGATCAGTTGGTTCCACTCTGCACTGCCGGCATGAACTCTCATACACCGCCAGGTTGGTACTTGACATAAATGTATGCACATGTACTGCACTGTACGAGTAAGACATGCGGCTGTTAGCTTGCTCTGCCAGAGATCTATCTCCGCGTCGGCTGCAACTGGAAATTCCCGCGGGAGGAAGCTGTGCGAGTACGCATGTCGAAAAGAGTCTAATTTCTGATGAGATGATTCAATTTTCCGTACGGCTACACAGGGCTCAGCTCGTCCAGGGAGTTAGTCTTGGAGCTGCGGAGCCATGTGCTCCTCTTATCTACATCCATGCTCGGTCTGCGTGCATCGGGCTGCAATTGCGCGCTTTGGAAGAAGCAAAGAGTTGCCACAGATACCAACCAACGTCCTCATTTCAATGTTATCGACCAATAGTACCATCGTCACGAAAAGACGCGAGAACGTGTCAGTATGAGCAATGCTAAAAGGTGGCCGTGTTCCATCCATGTAACTGTGGTTTGTTGATATGAACCGCCACCCAAGTTATGATTTTTTTTTCCGCACGGAGTGACCGGCTTATCGTGTTGTATCGCGGTCCTTCCAATAATGACGATCTTTTCCCTTGCATATCTTGTTCTGCGCAACGACTGTTACCGATATGCTATTCAATCGACCCCCTTCCAAGACAATTGACAACGCCAACGTGGCTCCCGCGATACCAGACAGCCCTTAAACAAACGTACCTAATATCTAAAATACAAAGAAAAGTATAATATACCGCCAAGAGGATCTTTGGCGTAGCGTAAGCAATGAGAGTAGATGTCTTCAGCCACCGGATTAGTCGCAACAACTTGCAACCTCTCTTACCTGCTTTGTCCGACACCGTCAGCTGCTTCCTTTAGTTCCTGCTACGAGTCGGTCTGATGGCCTTGGGAAAGGTAGCATTGGCTGCGTTCGCAGCCTGTACCTCGCTCGTCCAGGCGGCATCCAGAGACCAATGGATATCCAGATCCATCTATCAGATCGTGACTGATCGCTTTGCCCGCTCGGATAACTCGACCACTGCTCCATGTGATGCCCAAGAGGGATACTACTGTGGAGGAGATTTCCAAGGCATCATCAACAAGTTGGATTATATCCAAGATTTGGGGTTTTCAGCAGTAAGATGCCACTTCTATACATGTCCCAGTGCGCTCAGATTCATCGGATCTTCGAATCCGCAGGCTCGAAATTCCTGCAACTGGAAACTGAGATAGTCACAATTCACAGATTTGGATATCACCAGTACAATCACAAATAATGGAGAGGACGGCGGATCTTTCAGGTGCTCAGCAACCCTTGCCTCTGACACATGATCCTTGTGTTGCGTTCAATAATATACTAAACTCAGCTATTCAATCTGTTAGCATACCATGGGTATTGGCCGAGAGATCTCTATAGCATCAACTCCCATTTTGGTTCCCCCGAAGACCTCAAGGCGCTCTCCGATGCTCTCCATGCTCGTGGCATGGTAAGTGACGATATTGCATTAATATATCTACGCTTTCCCATTTTGTCATATATTGTCGCATACTGACAAGTCGTAACACCGATTCAGTACTTGATGTTAGATGTCGTCGTCAATGACATGGCCTGGGCTGGAAATGCATCGACGGTCGATTACAGCCAGTTCAACCCCTTCAACAGCGAGGAGTATTTCCACCCATATCGACTCCTGTCGGATGATCCATTGAATGAAACCTGCGTCATTGATGTAAGTACTTGCATAGCTTAGTATTGCAGTTTTTATGCAATATGGATTAATTGCTAATATTACTCCTAAACAGTGCTGGCTTGGGGATACGATAGTATCGCTTCCAGACGTACGAACCGAAGATGACAAAGTAGCATCCATGCTCTATTTCTGGATCACGGAGCTGGTATCTAATTATTCAGGTAAGTGTTTTCCATTGTGTCTTTATTTACTTTTGTAATGGCATAGTAGATCTAATTGCTATTCTCAGTGGACGGATTGCGTATCGACAGTGTATTCAACGTTGACCCCGGTTTCTGGCCTGATTTCAATAGTTCAGCTGGAGTCTTCTGCATCGGGGAAGGTAGTACGCGCAATGCTACCGAGTTGTGCCCTCTGCAAGACGGTCTCAATGGCCTCTTGAATTATCCTCTGTTTGTGCATCATGATCTCTGAATTTGCAGTTGACCTGCTTATTTTTGCACAGGTATTATATCCTGACGGAATCTTTCAATGACACTGCTAGCGACCTAAACACTGTCGTTCGAGCTATGGAGTTTATCATGATCCAATGCAAGGTATGATCCGAATACCATACCATAGACTAAAGCAATACGAACTGAATCTCAATAGGACATATTTGCATTAGGGACCTTCACGGAGAACCAGGATGTTCCTCGCTTCGCATCCTATACCCAAGACTTGTCTGTGCGTCTCACCTTTGCCAAGATACCTCTCATTTCTGTGTTCTAATTGTTCATTTAAGCTGGCCCGAAACATCATAACCTTCAATCTCCTTGGTGATGGAATACCCGTCTGTAAGTAAACAAGTACTCCGCATGTAACCAATCTCTTGAAGCTAATTGGGGTAGTTTACTATGGCGAAGAACAACATTTGTCAGGCGCATACAATCCCGTCAATCGGGAAGCGCTCTGGCTCACTGATTATTCGTGGAACACAACGTCTCTCCCCTTCCTGGTAAAGTCCCTGAATCGCCTCCGATCATACGCTGCGGTCAATGGGACGCAGTTCACGGCAGCCAACGAACCAGGCAACGACTATCTCACCTTCATCATGTATCCGATCTATAACAGCACCCACATTCTTGCCCTGCGAAAAGGCTTTGTCGGCAATCAAGTTATCAGCGTCTTGTCTAATTTGGGCACATACCCCGACGGCAACGTCGAGACCAAGATCGTACTGAATGCGACCGGCACAGGATTCCAACCGGGACAGAGTGTCACCGAGATCCTTTCATGCCAGACAGTCCTCACCGACGAAAACGGCAATCTGGATGTGGACCTCCACGACGGCGGACCGAGAGTTTACTATCCTACTGACAGCCTCAATATTTATTCCGACCTCTGCGGACACCACGAGGCGCAGCCGGCGACGTCTGGAAATTCCAGTTCTGGTACGTCGCCGAAGAAGTCCGATGGTTCCCTGTCAACATCATCCGACTTGCTGAATGTCCTGTACGCGGTGTCGAGCACCCTGTTCCTTGTCATGGGCTTTCCCGTTTGAGAGGTATTTCACCCTTCTGCAATTGTGAGAGTATGGTGGTAGGATGATGGCATTTCTAAACCTCTCATGTACTAGCTTCTATTTTCCTTCTGCGTCTTCGCTTTTCTTTCCTCTCTCTCACTCTCTCATTTACGCTCTTCGTTTTTTTTTTTATATTTCCTTTCTTTTGTTGTGCTGGATTCATTTAGATAATATATAATGGGTGGAAAACCGCACAATGTCGCACGCCCTTGGTTACCGCGAATATATATTTTCGTGTTGGAGTATTATTTGATACGATGATGCCACGGACAAAGTTATAGAAAATTATAAATTTTTTCTTCGAAGTCTATCTCTTATTCAATTAAATATAAAAATTATACTTTCAAGCTAGCTTGTGACACCTTGTCTATGAACGTTGACCTTGAAAGTGGCGGTGTTAGGCGAGATACGAATAATCTACTGCAAACCGTGACTCGATATGGTGGGTCTTTCCTTCGTTTCCCTGGGTTATTTCTGTCGATCATCATCGACATCCTGCATTATCTGCAATGGGCAAAGTATGGTGGCCTGAAAAGGAAAAATCAAAACTGGAGCTGATTTGAATAAAAGAAAGGACTTTGAACCTTGATTCGTAATTCATCCTCTGACTTATCATATACAATCTCGGCAACTTTTGCATATGATAATTTCAAAGCGTCAGACACGTCCGGGATCTACAAATTTTCCGCAATTGAGTTCACGGAATTCCGATTGGCATCAACCACAACAGCCTCGATATAGCATTCAGACTGTCGGAACACTCGGAACACGAGTTGAGTGCAGATGAGGAATTGTCAATCGAGGATGAGCAATTTCTCGATGGCCGCAGCTGGTCTAATTTTGGATTACAGTGGAGCGCATCCAATCTGCTGGTCGAGCGATATCAAGCGTGGCGCCGACAGCTCAGACCGCACAGACCAGCGGGCCCACAAGGCTTGCTGACAGCTGAAGGAGCTAGAAGCTTGGCCATGCATCCGTGGTCGAATTCGAACGCCATTGACGACATCTAGCGCGGTATTTTTGTAAAACGGTAGCGTGGTACCGGGGAGATGTGTATCGTCTGGCATCCCTTGCCTCAGCTCGGGAGCTCGTCCTCCAACCAGAATTCTATTCTTATCAACACTTCGCCGACGTGGGCTGCGGCCCACCATGGTTCGGAATAGCCAGATCGGTAACGCGTCAGTCGAATTTCTTCGAAGATCGATGCTGCTGGATGCGAGCAGGAAGATGAGATGTTGATATTTTGTCTGGACTTGATATATAATAATCTTCTTCTCGTCCGGCACCTTCACTTTGATCAAATTCTTCATTGACTAGAAACAATTTCTTCTGTCCAAGAAATTGCTCACGGCAGTGCTGTAGCCAAGCTATCCAAAGCAGCACCCAAAATGCGCTTCTTCTCTGTTCTTCCAGCGCTGAACCTCATTTCTTCGGCGCTGGCCATCTCAATCACCGAGCCGACGTCGAGCACCACGTGGGATTTCTCGACGCCGCAGACCATCAAGTTCACCAGCAGCCCGAATGACCCTTCCTATGTCAGCATCATTCTGCTCAACAAGTCCACCAACTATCAGATCAAGATCGCAGATAATGTAAAGACTGCGTCAGGCGAATACACCACGCAACCGAATCCCAGCGTTCCCAACGGGTAAGTCACGCGTCTCGACTCTCAGACACAGTTATATTCGATGCTAATAGTGATTCCAGGTCTGGGTATGAGATCCAAATCATCGACTCCTCCGGCACGCTCGCTACTTCCCAGGGCTTCACTGTCGAAAAGGGTGCGTCCAGCAGCTCCTCTTCCTCTTCCTCCCTTGCATCTTCCACCAGTACGGGGACCTCTGCCTCATCGACCTCTGAGGCGTCGACGTCGGTGACATCTACCTCTGGGTCTTCCGCTGCCCTGAGCTCCACAAGTAAGATCATTTATTTGCTTCGTAGGCCTGTAGGTTGGAACAATTCACTCACAGCCGCATTTCTAGGCGCTGCTTCTAGCACTACCACTACCGCTTCATCTTCGTCGACCGCAAGCACTTCTGCTGGCACCACTCTCACTACTACCACAGGCACCTTTTCTTCGACTGGACGTGCCGGTTCTTCGTCAACGAGCGTTCCTGCAGCTGACGCGGCTGCTTCGATCGGCGTGAGCAAGGGAGCTGCAGCTTTTGCAGGAATGATTGGTCTCGCTCTGCTTTTCGTTTAGACGAACGAGCTTTAGCATCTGCTAGAATTAGTCCTTTCGGAGGGGTGATATGACTGTTCCATGAATTTCAAGTGATGACGGATGAGATGACACACGATAAAAAGAGATGGAACTGCGTGTAACGTTCCTTTTCTTCTCTCCTCCTCTCCCTTTAGACTATCCTCCGATCTTCATGACATTTTGTACGTAGCAACGACATACTACCTAAGTGGGATGATCAATCCAAGAAAAAAAGTATCACCTGTTGGATACAGTAATGCATAATCTAAATCTCCGACTGTGCTGTGTAACTGAAGTATTTTTTTTTTTTAGTGTGATGCGCAGCGCAGTAACTTTTAATAGAAAAATAGTAGAAAAAAAAAAGATAAAGTAACAAGAAACATGAAAAGTAAGCAAGATAAGTCGAGCGAAGCAGGTTTTTTCTATGCAAACTTGACGTGGAAAACAAAAATAAAGAAATTTTTTTTCTTTTCCTTTTATTAGTAGTTACTCTGTATTTTGATGAATTCGTTGCACCTTCATATCATTACTATTTACATAAATTCTCTGGCTGACGATTCACTGACATTTAAAATATATTTTTTTCAGACAACACCCGGCAGTGTCGACATCGCGAACAAAATGCGACTTACTATGCACAGTTTTATTTTTTTTCTAAAACTGGTCTACGTGTGACTGTAGCTTTGTATACCAAATGGAAATACTATATATAATTAAGTGCATGTCTCCCCAATCTGTTTACGTATTTGCGGGTAACGCATTGGCACCTGGCAAGAAGACACCACCGGCCATACTCATATCAGCTGAGTTCATATTAGTCCTCAATCTGAGCATGAAAGAGGAGAAAAACATGTCATTCTTCAATTCGCTACTAGGAGACACCTCTTTCAGTTCGACCAGGACGGTGCCCAGTTAGAATTGGTAATATTGTCGGAGTCAGGGCTAGAGGTACCAATGATGTGTGTACGTACTTTAAATCGCAGAGACGGCCTAATTCCCACGACGGAATAGAACGCAACAAGTAAACTTAGAAATCCAAATACTACGTCAAGCAGTTCTCGTCACCACGGGAAGCTTTTCCCTCCATACTTAGAATATAGAATAGGAGCGCCAAAAGTCATAGATAAAGCTGTTCTGTTGCCAGTGAAAACTCGTACAGTGTAGCACATCCAAGTAAATCCCCAACATCATTGACAAGAGGTCCAAGCTGGCATGGTTACGCACGTATACTTCTATCCTTGCTGAAAACAGCGGTCTGTAACCGGCCGCAATAGGCCAGATTCTCGGCAGAGAAATAATGGTCGCAGAGAAATAATGATCGACTTCGAGAAATTATTACAGAGTACGGAGTACACCCAGATGAATGTGCGTTCTGCAAGGACCCTGAGCAGCAATATTCCTGCAAGGAGATCCTTACGACGTCTGCAGCTTAAACTGACTGCCTAGCCTAGTATAGTTAAGTTTGCTATGTTTCAGATTCATACTCTGCACCACCCGGCTTTTAGCCGAGACTATCCGAATTAAACTTAGACAAAAAATTAGGAAACGGAGTGATCGTCGATACAGAGTACTTCAAGCAAGACGCTCAACTCCCCGCGATCGCAGCAAGGATCGGATTGTCTGCAGGAACAAGTGAAATAATCATGCAGTCGTAAAATAATCTACTGGCTCTAGTGGAGAAGACCCAGAAACTAGCATCCGTATGTTGAGATCTGCAGAACAATATATGTTGAAGAACTCGAGTGGACTTACATGGGCAGCACTTGATTGTTAGCTACTCAGGAGGAAAGATAACGCCAAGAACGCAATTGTGATCATTCGTACTCGTCCGTATTAGGATACGTCCATGATGACAGATGTAAAACAGTCGTTTCAAAGCGAAGAACAACACCGGAACAGTGTAGCAGGATAAACAACCCGGCATTTTGACTGGCAACGGCGACTCACCAATGCATACTAGTATACAGTGGCATTCATTGCCACAGGTAAGTATTCTTATGAACAATTTTTCAACGTGACAAATGTGGAATCAGATTACAACAGGCCTAAAAAGACATTATATGTTGTACAATGCAACGAAAATTATTTTCATTACCCATCCATCACGTCCATCCGACTAAGGTCATACTGCGCTCTCACGTGTGTTACCTGGCTGGTTGGGAACATTCCTTTGCAAGAGTTTTATCGAACTCACTGGTACTAAAGGTGTACAATCTCCTCAGAGCGGCACAGTGAGCTGGGGATTTCCTTGAATGGCATGGAATGCATCGATAGCCTGCTGGAAGTGGTTGTCGACCTGGCCTTTCTGGTCGCTGGCCTGCGGGTTGTAAGAGGTGTTGCTTGGGAAGATGGCGATCAGATTGAAGAAATACGACTGCAAGGTAACAGTGTCAGTTACAGCTCTGACCAAAAACTGATTCTGGTTCAGGAAGTCTCACATCAACAACTCCGGAGAGCGCCCGAATTTCAGACGGAATTCCGTACTTGCTATACTGGTCCATGTTCACGAAAGTCTGCGCTCGTTGAGTGAGCGCGTCCATGAGTTCAAAAAGACTTTCCACGAACTGGTCGAAAATTAGCACATCTCTGTTGAATTCATCGTAGCGCATTGACAGGAAAATCTCTACTCACATTCGAGAAAGCCTCGTAAACAATCTGCATGGAATCCTGCTGCTGAATGACCGCAGATCCGCTCATGGCACCAACCTCTTCCAGAGTTTGGTCGAAGATAGTGTCGAATTGGTTGTACACGTCCTGCAGAGTCCAAGTTTCAGCACTCAGTCGCTAATTTAACGTTGCGGAGATGAGGATAGAGCGGACAAGGCTCTTACTTTCATGTTTCCAGACTTGGACGTCGAATTCATTGACAGCACCAGGTCTTTGAGACCGTAAGTAGCCGATGCGAGTCCATCGCATGCGTTCCGAATATCCTCTGGCTGCTGTGCAGCGTTGGCACATCCCGCAATGAGGGACAACGCGACAAGGAAGGAGACAAGGGTTTTATACAGATACATGGTGAGGAAAATCGAGCGAATGACTTCAGACGCAATCGATAAGAGTGTACAGGCTTGAAGCCCTCTGTCGAGCGCACGTTGAGAAACGAACGACGGTGCCTGCCAGGCTAAAAGAACGAACGGGGTCGGTCGGTTATTAGCAGCTAGTTAGCCGGACGAGGCTCTCTACTGCGGAGTATCGCGGGGTTCTTAAAGGCCTGGAAGACAGGGCCAACTGGGGGACTCGGTGGGCCCGGGTGTCACCGAGATGTCTGGATAGGGCGATGTTTTATTTACCCAGTACGCTAATCGATAGATAATGCATTAGATTGCGCCCTAGACCAAAGAGGATATCCCAAGCATCACCATCCATGCGCCCCTTCCGTCATACATATATTACACAGGTCACACCGCACCTAAAGGCGACTCGTATGTCCCTTGCACGGAGGAGTTTTGTTCAGACAGTTTTAAGATGAAACAGTTTCAAAGACAATCATGTGACAACCTCCCACGTGGCCAGGCGTGTCCTATCCCGATTAGGAAAAGACGCAACATTGGCTTCTGCTGGCGTTTTGTGGCTTGTTCTGCTGCATAATTAGTAACTTCAGTGGCAGTGGCTCAACTTTGAACGGCGCCTTCGTATTCGAGGTGTTTTATTCGATTCCTTGTCGTCGGTGTCTTGGCGATAAGAAATGAGAGATGTATACCACCGCATCTTCGTTGCTCGCTAGGCGGCCTTCTCCAGATGTGATTGTCTCACGCAGGTTACTCTGCTAAATTCCGCCCATCAATTCGACTTCGGCTCAGAAGACAAACAAGATGATCAATTGAATGCAGTTCTAAAGCTGATTGCAACTAAGCTCCTGGTTCTAGATATCCTCCAGTGCCACGGATGATTCGCGTGCTGCGTATCCTTGATTCTTGGTTATTACTGTTGCCGATAAGCTCAACTCGATATCCATACATGTTTCTCTGGCATTTGACTGGCAGAGCAAAGTTCGCGTCCAAAATCTGGTCCTGGTTCTCTGCGGCAATTCAACTCTAATTTCTTCCCATGGTCGATACTGATGTTAATAATCACAAACTCCGAGCTGACATCATGCACCACTAAGCAGCGTGTCATTCCCGGAATACTCGCTGAGCGAGAGCCAGATGACGACAATGGGGTGGCCTTATATAGATCAGTGAATCACTTCTTTCGTTGGAATTCCTACCTTTCGACGATCCCCTAATCCGACGCACCATCATGCCCATTTCGATCCCCGCAGCAGACAGTCTCCACGACCTCTTCAGCCTCAAAGGCAAGGTGGTCGTCGTCACTGGCGCCTCCGGTCCCCGCGGGATGGGCGTCGAGGCAGCACGGGGTTGCGCGGAGATGGGCGCCGACGTGGCCATCACGTACTCGACCCGTCAGCAGGGCGGCGAGAAGAACGCCCGGCAGCTGCGGGAGACGTATGGGGTGCAGGCGAAGGCGTACAAATGCGACATCAGCCGCTGGGAGGAAGTCGAGGGCCTGGTCAAGGAAGTGATCGCGGACTTTGGCAAGATCGACGCCTTCATCGCGAACGCCGGGCGAACGGCCGGCAGCGGCGTGCTCGACGGCACCGCCGAGGACTGGAACGACGTCGTCCAGACGGACCTCACGGGGGCCTTCCACTGCGCCAAGGCAGTGGGCGCGCACTTCAAGGAACGGGGCACGGGCAGCTTGGTGATCACGGCCAGCATGTCGGGCCACATCGCCAACTACCCGCAGGAACAGACGTCGTACAACGTCGCGAAGGCCGGGTGCATCCACCTGGCGCGGTCGCTGGCGAACGAGTGGCGGGACTTTGCGCGCGTGAACAGCATCTCGCCGGGGTATATCGACACGGGGCTGTCGGATTTCGTTCCGCAGAATATCCAGCACATGTGGAAGGACATGATTCCTGTAGGCCGCCAGGGGAAGGCCAAAGAGCTGAAGGGGGCGTATGTGTATCTGTGCAGCGATGCGAGTTCGTACACGACCGGGGCGGATATTGTCATTGATGGGGGGTATTGCGTTCGATGAGTCGGTCAATCACAGTGAAGTGTGATAGAAGGTCCGTATCGAATATCGAATATGAGTGTTTAGCACCTGAAGTGGACGAGGCTGTGTTATAGATGATGAAGATATCAACCGTCGGACAAATATATAAGTGAGCATCTATCAACAAAGCATATTTTCTCAATACGCAATAACAGTTTGCGTAATGCTTGATGATTTGGTCAGAGTTGTACAACGATCATTGTTGGCGATTTGAGGCTGAGTAATGCAGTTGAGATAGTTAGAGTGCTGACGATCTCTGCAGATGCCTCGGCAACACGAATTTGCTTCGCAACGAGATTGGCTCGACGGATGAGTTCTATTTCATGCTTCAACTGTTTAATTGACGTTGAACCAACAAATGCGGACTCACGTGAACCTCGGCTGGAGATGCGATGGCTGCTTTCTTGGAGATGAAGCCCAACTTATTTGACTGTGCTGCTGTCGCGCGCCTTCCTGGTGGATCGCGCGTTTCATGTGGGCGGACCGAGGCTTGACGGCTAGCTCTGACAACTGCTCGCCTTAAATACCAGCCCCTGCATGGATGTTGCGAAAATCAACCTGCAGCAAGTCCACAGTTAAATAGTCGACAATCGCATACACAATGGACGCGGCTCTCAGTCTCCTGCAGCGCCTCCCCGCAGCAGCAGTGGAGAAGCTGCCCGTGCGGGCGCAAGGGGCCCTCAGCTCGCCGCTCACCCGCAAACTGCTGGCAGCCCTGCTGGCCCTGAGCATCCTGCGACACATCAACCGGACGCTCTCGCGGCTGGTGCTCAACAACTGGCAGTCGGACTACTGGGACTGGAGCAAAGAGCTGGTGCTGTTGACGGGTGGCTGCAGCGGCATCGGCAAGCAGGTCGCCGCCGACTTGGCCGAGCGAGGCATCAAGGTCGTCGTCGTCGACATCCGAGAGCCGCAGGATCCATTGCGTTCGTATCCAACACCTCCCAATGTGTCGTTCTTACTGACTCGTTCGTCGCAGCACCCAATGTCTATTTCTACCGCGCCGACGTGACCTCGTCCGAAGATGTCAAGGCCGTGGCGGCGGAAATCCGCAAGGCGCACGGTGATCCGACGGTGTTGATCAACAACGCCGGCGTCGGCCACGAGGGCACCATCCTGGACAAGCCCGAGGCGACAATCCGCAAGACGTTCGAGGTCAACACGATCGCGCACTTTGTGACCGTCAAGGAGTTCCTGCCCAGCATGATCCGGCGCAACCACGGGCACATCGTCACCGTGGCCAGCGCGGCCAGCTTCGTCGCCGTCGGCGAGATGGTTGACTACGCGTGCACCAAGGCCAGTGCGCTGGCCTTCCACGAGGGCCTGACGCAGGAGCTGCGGTATTGGCACGGCGCGAAGAAAGTCCGGACGAGGTGAGCCCTTCAATCATCCCAGACGTCGTTATATCAGTCAGGTCTTTCTAACAGTGTTAGTATCATCCACCCAATGTGGGTGCGCACGCCTCTGATCAAGCCTATCACCGACGCGGGCTCACGCTTCCGGCAGCCCATCATGGAGCCTGGCGAGGTCTCGGCGGCGATCGTCAAGCACATTCTCTCCGGCAACAGCGGGCAGGTGATAATCCCCGGCCGCGTGAGCTTCTACTCCAGCCTCCGGGGGCTGCCGTCGTGGCTGCAGGAGATTGCGAGGGGGATTGGCTCGCGGGATCTGAAGCGGATTCGGGATAAGAAACGGATTCGGGATCAGAAGCGGATTCAGGGTCATTCATAGGCTGTTCTTTTGCTGTGTGTATGAATTATGATATTGATACGCTGTCTGTAGATGAACAGACAGTACCTAATGATGTGTATATACGTTAATTCGTCGATGACTAGTATTATTAAATCAGATCGCTGCGCGTATAAAGTTTGCCTTCACTCGTTTACCTTCAGCTTCTGAATTCATCAGTACTTGGTTCACGGGCTCCTCGTCTGATTAGAGAGCTGAATTGTTCTCTTGACAAAGCCGACTAAAAATGTGAGATTTAGGATGCGGATACATGCCAATTGGGGGACATTTCTCCTGTGATTACAGGCACATAGCCTGTTCTGTATAATTGAGTCATGGATATATATGGCCAGGTCGAGGATTGGAGCGTCTGCAACAGGCCTGCTGTGGTGAACACCAGCCAGGATTGCAAAGAATCTCTTTGTTCGTATCATATGTCAGTTACAACGATTGTCAACAGACTCTTCGCTCAGCAAACACGTTGAAACAATGCCTAGAGAACAACAATGCTGCGGAATCCCTTTCTGGCGGGTCGGTTACGCAGAAAATTGTGCCTGTTGGAGGATAATATGCCTCCATGTCTTCGGGTCTTGATATTTATTGAGTTTGATGCTTCTTTTTTCACTTTGATCGACCTGGACGCTGCAAATGCAGTCGAGTTGAGCATCATTGTCCAGATTCTTTAATCTACTCCGATTGATTATATATATAAATATATCTTCATTCCCATACGGGACAGCCATCATTTCCCTTGTACTAGCTGGAAATAGATGTAGCTAATGCGCTGTGAAAGCTTGTCTCATCTCTGGTTCTCTCTCTTTCTTTCCTTTTTTGCGTCTTACCTGTCGTCATGCAACACAGGCGCTTGACATTATATCAGCGACTTTGAATCTGGGACAGCCAGTGTCAACCCTATCAGCATGAACAGGAATTGTTGAATTGGCAATCTCAATCACCCTTTCCATAATATAATTACGGCAGTATAATATCGTCGCCGGTCAACCCCACATGAGGTCCTACTCTCCCGACCATCGGTTGTATCTTGCCGATGGCTGTCCTATATATGCTGCCAGCCCAACAGGGACGACCATGCAGAGAGGACATTGCTGGTCTTTTTCTTTTATTCCATCATCCCTACAACAGTACAACCATGGGCCTCGGCGTCCTGGAAGATGATCACCTGGAGCATGTCCCCGGGACGGCGCTGCTGACCGACGTGCTCGGGGCCGACACGTCGGTCCTCCGCCACGACAAGGGCCGGAATTCCGACGTGCTGCTCGTTCCCCAGCCGTCCAACAGCCCGAATGACCCGCTCAACTGGCCGCTGTGGAAGAAGGATGTGATGCTGTTTCTGATCTGTATCGATACGGCGGTGGTCGGGGCGTGGGTATGCGCGGTTTTACTCCTGGTCAAGTATTCTTCATGCTGATTGTATAAGGGCCCCATGATATCCCCTGGCTACGCCATGATGAGCGAGCAGTTCCACATGTCGTACAACGCGCTCAACGGCGGGCTCGGCTGGGGCGTCTTCGTCATCGGCGTGTCGTGCTTCTTCACCCAGTCGCTGGCCGTCATCTGGGGGCGGCGGCCGATTTTCCTGCTGGGCAACCTGCTGCTCTTCATCAGCAGCGTGTGGGCGTACTTTGCGCATTCGTACCGGTCGCTGCTTGCCTCGCGCTTGGTGGGCTGCGTGGGCATGTCGCCGTTTGAAGTGTAGGTGAAGAAACACCATCCTAATCGTATCGATACTAATGCAACCAGGCTGGTCACCTCGACAATCGCCGATCTCTATTTCGTCCATCAGCGCGGCGTGCGCCTGGCCGCCTGGGGTCTCTGCCTGTCCATCGGCGTCGGCGGCGGGACCATCATCTCCGGCTACATCATCCAGGATCTGGGCTGGAACTGGACGTACGGGATCTGCGCCGTCATCTACGGCGTCTGGATCGTCGTCCTCTTCTTCTTCTGCCCGGAGACCGCCTATCGTCGCGACGCAGTCCTCAACACGGACCTGGGGACGGAGGACAAGGCCGCGGAGCTGGCAGCAGTGAAACCGTCGGCCGACACGATCGAGCGCGCCGAGACCAACGTCTCTGAAATCGAGCCCAAGCACAGCTACTGGAACGACCTGCAGATCTTCCACGGCCGTGTCTCGGACGACCCCTTCTGGAAGGTGCTGACCCGTCCGCTGATGATGCTGGTCTTCCCGCAGGTGATCTTCTCCTTCTTCGCCTACGGACTGACCACGTCCTGGCTGGTCGTCGTGGGAAGTGTCCTGGCACAGATCTTCACTGTCCCGCCGTACAACTTCAGCGTGTCCGGCGTCGGTCTCGTGGCGATTGCGCCGCTGATCGGGGCCATCATTGGGGCGTTCATCTCTGGTCCGTCGGCCGACTTTGTCGCCAAAGCGATGAGCCGCCGCAACAACGGCATCTACGAGCCGGAATTCCGGCTGGTGATCATCGTCGTCACGCTCGTGCTCGGGGGGATGTCCTTCTTCGGCTTCGGCATGTCCCTGCAGGCGGAAGATCCCTGGATCGGACCGGTCATCTTCTACGGGCTGCAGTACTTCAGCGTCGGGTTCATGTCCATCGCCGTGTACGGGTATCTGACCGACTGCCACCGCGACAAGGCGCCCGAGGCGTTTGCGGCCATCAACCTGCGCAACATCTATTCGTTCGGGATGAACTACTTCGTCTCGGCGTGGATCTCGAGCCAGGGGCCCAAGGATGTGTTTTGCATCGTGGGCGGCGTGCACGTCTTTATCTGTCTGACGGCGGTGCCCATGTATGTCTTTGGCAAGAGGTGTCGCAGCTGGACGAGCAGGGTGGGATTGTTTCAGAGGGTGATGCGGGCGTGAAAGGAAACCTATCGATTCGAAATTCCATTCACTAGAGAAGTATTCCATGTCAGTCGTAACTGTCGAGGAAAATTCCGACAGAATGGGCCTGTCAGCATGCTGTGTCACCATAAGTCTTCCATTCACTACATGACTCGATTGACAGCCATGAGTAAGCCTTGTGTAACAAATCCAGCAAAGCTATATATTTTGTCTCCACTGTAGTCAGTGAATAAGCAGTCCAGTCCAGCCAGACGTCATGCAGCTTGCTGCTGCATTTCACAACTCATATCCAGTTTCGTCATTGATAGGATAACTGCATCCTTCAATATCGCACAGAGCTGCCATCTGGATTCCACGATCGAGCAGCGATCGGGCTTAAAGCAGCGACGTTATCCAGACAAAAATCTCCAAGCTGCATATTGGCTCGATCTGGCCAGCTCGTCATGAGCAAGATCAAAGCTGTCGTATGTCATCCTTCTGACTGTCAACCAGAATGCTAGGGCATATATTGACTCTGACGCCAGTGTGAGCACCTATCCCAGGAGCTGCCGAACAAGGTCGTCCTTCCCTGCCACGACGAATATGCCGCCATCCAGGCATCCTACTTTTCCCTGCAGGAGCGGGAGATATCGCCTGCCTGCGTCGTGACGCCCAAGACGACCGCAGACGTGGTCACTACTGTCCAAGCACTGGTCGAGCACGAAATCCCCTTCGCCGTGCGCGCAGGCGGCCACAACCTCAACGCCGGAGCGGCCAACATCGAGGCTGGCGTCACCATCGACCTGCGGGGTCTGAACCAGATCAGCTTGAACGAGGACCTATCCGTCGTGTCCGTCGGGGGCGGCGCCAGATGGGGCGAGGTCTACTCCTCTCTCGAGCCGTTCGGGCTCGCTGTCGCAGGGAGCCGGGATGAAGCTGTCGGCGTGGGGGGATTGATTCTAGGCGGTACGTACCACCAGTCTCTGCATATGCTATATCAATGATATTCAGACTGACTTTACAGGCGGCATGTCTTACTTCAGCGGCAGGAAAGGCCTGGTCTGCGACAACGTCGACAACTACGAGGTCGTGCTGGCCTCCGGCGAGGTGGTCAACGCCAACAGGGAGGAGAACCGCGACCTGTGGACGGCGCTGAAGGGCGGCGCTGGCAACTTCGGCATCGTCACCCGGTTCGACCTGCGCGTCTGGCGCCAGGGCCTGTTCTACGGCGGCGTGGTGGTGTCCAGCCTCGCGACGGTGGATGCGCAGCTGGAGGCGTTTGCAGGGCTCGCGGCGGACTTTGACAGGCATGCGGCTATCATCCTGAGCGTCAGCTGGAACCAGGTCCAGCAGGCCTACGGGGTCTTTTGCAATATGATGTACACTGCGGAGGGCGTCGAGGATCCACCGGCCTTGCGGCCTTTCACGCAGGTGCAGCCGCAGTTCCTCAACACGATGCGCGTTGCCTCGCTGAGGGAGTTTGCTATCGAGACCAGCAAACATGCTGTAAAAGAGGCGCGGTGAGTATAGACAGCATCCACGTATCATTTCATTTAGCTGACGATCCTAGCAACCAATTCGCGACGACAACCTTCAAAGTCAACCTTCCCCTGATCCAGGAGGCGTACCGGCTCTGGCACCAGAGCGTGTCGAGCATCACGACAATCGAAGGCGCAAGCTGGGCGCTAGTCTTTCAGCCCATCCCGGCGCCATTCCTGGAAGCCGGAGGGGGAGAGCAAAGCAACACCCTCGGTCTACGTCCCTCAGACGGCCCACACGTACTGATAATGCTAGCATATAGCTGGAAAAAGAAAGCCGACGACTCGACGATGACAGCGGCAGCGCAGAAGCTCATCCACGACATCGACGCCGCGTCGCAGCGGGCCGGCCTGTTCAGCCCGTTCAGGTATCTGAATTATGCGGCTGGGTGGCAGGATCCCATCGCTGGGTATGGCGAGGAGAGTGTTCGGCAGCTGAAAGCTGTCAGTCGGAAGTATGATCCCAGGGGAGTGTTTCAGAGACAGTGTCCGGGTGGGTTTAAGGTCTTTAAATCGGGAGAGTGATCGGTAAATTGGTGGAATATGAGGAGATTGTAATGGATATGTCCGTTTGTGGATATTAGGTCGTGTAAATAGAGAATGAATCCTGGCCGTATTTAAAATAAGGGTGAAATACTGAATAGTGTTCTTAAAAAAAAGGCCATTTCCTCTGCGCTTGGCTACCCAAGTAGTTAATCAGAGTATCCTCGTTTTAGATCTTGTATAAAATCACTCTTCCCATGTCAGAATATAATTCTTACAATGCGTGCCAGGCACGAACACTCTCCTGCAGGAATCCATCTATCCAGTCAGCAGTAGCTGGAACGTCAATGAGCTGATCATCTAATAACTGCGAGAGTATATTCCCTGCATGCAGTACGGTGATACGCACCTGCACCTTTCCAGATATACAGTGTTATATACATGAGATGGTCTCCAATCTATCTACTACACTACAGTCCTTATACGCTCTTATTTAGTTATACCCTACATATCGCCCCTTCCTCCGGACCATCCCCCTTTTCTGTAATAATGCTCCTCCCTCCGTCAATGCCACCGTCCGCCCCGGCCCAAAGTCGGGCGTGCCGCCCAGCGTGCCGAAGATATCGCCAATGTAGTTGCTCGGCTTCACGCCCGCCGCGAAGGTCTGGTTCCATCCCTGCAGGATGCCCTCGACCACCTTGATGCCCGCGCGGTAGATGTTGTCCACCGCCGGCTGGAAGCCGCCCTGGTCAGCGTACAGCAGGTTGTACATGGGGTCCTCGCCGGGATAGGGCCGGTCAAAGTCGGACGCGGTGCGCATGACGATGATGCGCGCGAAATCGGCGCGCTTGTGCACGGCCGCCCGCAGCAGCGCCTCCAACGTCGCGTTGTCCTCCTGGGCCGTGGTGCAGTAGACGCCGGTTCCGTTGGTCAACAGCCGGATCGTGTTGCCAAACGCGGTGCTGAGGATGTTTCCGCTGTAGTAGACGTCCGACGTGGCGATATCGCACTCGACCACCGACGGCGGCGCTGCTCCGGCCGCGTAGAGCCGGTTCGTCGGCGTCACGTACTTGGCCCGGTAGGCCTGCGCGGCTGGAGAGTCGGACAGGTTGGCCGTGCGCGCGAACGAGGCGGCCAGCGAGCGCAGGTCGTTGTTAACCTCGAAGACCTCGGTGCCGTAGATGCTGCGCGGGTACTGGCCGGGCGCGTACGCCCCCAGCGGAATGTAGCCGGTCGAGTAGTTGGCCGGGATCTCGCGCGAGTCGAACTCGTACTGCAGGGCGACCTGGACGGCGAAGCGCGCAAAGGTGACGGACCCCGTCGTGGCCACCTCCGGGTTGATGCCGGCGATGCCCGCGATGAGGAAGTAGGTCTGGCGCAGGTCGAAGCGGTCCGAGAAGGCGACGGCGGAGACGGTCGTCGCGGCGTTGATCTCGGACTCGCCGGTGATCAGCTGGCAGACGGCGTGGTCGGCGGTGCAGTGGACGTGAGGGAAGATGGGCGACAGACCGGGCAAGCTGATGTTATGGGCCAGCAGGTCGAACTCGGGGATCCCCCACCAGGCCTCAGCCTCGGGGGCAAACTGGCAGGCGTCAGATGGTTGCTGATGTGCATCTTCACGAGACACTCACCATGGAGATGATGAAGACTTTGGGGGCAATCTTGCCGTTTCCATCCTTGCTGCGCAGGGGAATTCTTGCGTCCGCAGAGACCAGCGACAGCAAGGACAAGGTCGACAGGAAGGCCAGCAGTCTGGCCACGACCGTGCAGAGCTGCATTTTCGCCAATTGCGGCAGCCTCTTGTGACTCGTCTGGACGGCGACCTGGTCAGGATTTTCTCATAACGGGCCCTGGCGGGGATTTGTAGCTCTGCCGGAGTGGAGCGCAGCAGCAGCCGGGCTGATGGCGCCATTCGATAGACAGTTTAGCATCGATTTCGAGCATTTTGGCCTGATCCACCGGTATCCGATATGCCACATGCGATAGTACCTTGCAGTGGATCGGCCCGATCCGGCATGACTGGCTGGCTAGCAGAATGCAGATTAGATCGAAGGCAGGAGAATAAAATCCAGAACAAGTTGAAACAGTCTTATCTCGCAATCCGCCGGGAGAGCCGCGCGATTCAGTGGAGTGGAGTGAGTTTAGTCATAATATCGTTGCTATTAGTTGACTAGTTTGGTAGTTGAAGTCGTTTTAGCCTTATCGTTGGTGGCATTGGCCAATCAGATGCTTTTCACCCTTGCCTCGAACGGGAAGGTCCATCAAGTCGTTATCACGGAGAAGAAAAAAGAACGAAAAAAGAAGAGAAAACGAAGAAGAAAATAAGAAAAAAATAAATGGAAAGAAAAATTCAAAAAAAACCCTCTTCTTATCTCCTGTCGACTCGCGTGACCACAACAAAACGACTACAACGCAGAGATATATCACCCGACAGTGTGGATCAAGCTATCGAATTCTCCACTATTGGAGTCACGATAAAGAGTTTTTGTGATATTCTAGAAATCAGTAGAGTGCACTGGCCAGCTAGATTCTATCGAATTGCGACGGTTGTATTATTCTTCGTTTGTAGAGTACATATACCTGCAGGTATATCACTAACTGGCTGGCTGGCTGGCTGGCTGAATGAGACATGTACTGTACATACGGTACACATATAGCAAACTGAAAGGAAATAAATTTCTTAACAAGTCGTTGCAAGGGTCAAGCCTAAAACCTGACATCAATGGCGACTAACCTTCTCCAGGAGGCATATAGGTGTGTATTTTGTAGATATAAATAGTTGCCAACAATAGATAGCGTGGGTGAAAATACCCTTCACAGCAAATTAGATACTTGATAGAAGATCATCTGCAGTGTTGGGTTACACATCTCTTAGTGTACTTACTGCACACTAATAAAGCTCCCTTCCTCTCACTTTGAATTAATCATTTCCCTACCAAGTCTTATGGTATTCTGCTCAACCATATTCCTCATATTCATTAACTAGTATGAGGTGGTCTAACTATCCTGACAATTGATGAAATCCATTCATGTCCTCCTCCATCACGCCGGCATATGCTCAAACGGATGGGCCAGATGCTCCTGGCAGAAAGGCAGCTTGCTGACGGTCCAGATCTCGGTGTCCTACCCATCGTCAGTATGCCTGGCCCAACATTACGATAAGAACTTGCTCACGAACCGGCTTCAGGGTCTTCTTGATCTCCATGCCCAAGGTCCCCGCCTTGATGGCGATGATCTCCGGCGCCGCATCAGGGTCGTGGGCAATGGGCGAGCCGCACTCGGAGCAGAAGATGCGGTGGACAGCCTTGCCAGAGCTGCCCACGCCGGCCCAGCTCTTGGTCGGCCCGTTCAGCGTGAGCTTGTCCTTGGGCACGACGGCGACGAGGGCTGTTGAGAGCGGTCAGCACGATCGATCGACGACTCTCTGCGCAGGGACAATACAATAAGTGGAGCCGCTCTGGCGCTGGCAGTCATCGCAGTGGTCGTAGCCGACAAGCGCGGGCTTGTCGACGTCGATGGAGTAGGTGACGGCATTGCAGAGACAGTGGCCGGTGAGAGGCATGGCGACAGATCGAGGATGGCGACAAGATGCTCGACGAGGACCTTGCTGGTTCAATGGACATATTTAAAGCGTGAGCTGACCTCAAAGTCAACCGGAGGGTTACGGCAATTCAATATAATAATATTGCTGCTTCTTCGCCTTTGTGCCTGCGCCGCATTTCTCCTCCACCGGCCTCTTCTCTTTTCTATTCAATGAGAATCTCTTCTCAGCATGATCTGCCTACACACCATTTCTCCACGCTTCCCCTTTCAGGCCCATGCCACTAGAATTTGTCATCGTGCAGACAGCGATAGCTCGTGCCTGACGTCAGATTGACATGATTTGGAATTACGCCGATGGAGCGTCCTTGACTAAGCAGAGATCCCCGCACTAAGCAGGCATAAAACTGTTTTAAAACAGCTGCAGGACGACCCCTGCCAGTGGTTCAGGCGGGGCAGTTCTCGGCGCGGAGATTTGCTAAACATCCCCAGGAGCAGATAAACAATAATTACAAATTGCTGACGAGTCTACGTTAGGGCATGTCTATTCGGTCATCGTGCTGCTGTGACAGCCAATTGTTGTTTTTGACGCTCCACTATAATTCGAGCTGACAGCCATCATCATCATTTAATTCATGCCGACTCCTGATGCGCGCCACGCCCCTTATCCTGGTCTTCAGCCTCCAGCGCGGCCATGGCTGCGTTCTGGTGCGCCCTCTCCACGTCTATCGACATCTCCACCACGCCGAACAGGGCGTCTATCTCCTCCAGACTCAAGCCCTTCGTTTCCTTGATGAAGAGGATCGAGAAGACGACGATTGCTGGCGTCGTCAGCATGCTAGCAGCCAGAAGGGATCTACATACCCGCATTGAAAATGGCGAATATCAGAAACGTCCGCCAGCCGATGTTCTGCACCGCAATCGGGACCACCTTGCTGATGCAGTAGTTGAACGCCCACTGCGTGCTGGCCGCCATGGCCACGCAGTACTCGCGGATACGGTCGGGGTAGATTTCGCCGCGCCAGTCAGCAGGAAGAAGCTCCTTTCTGTCGTTGATGACAGACGCAGCCTACGTAGGTCCACGGCACCGTCCCCCAGGACCACGAATAGTCGATACAGTAGACATAGATCATCACGATCATCGCAATGCTGCAGCTCGACACGGTGTCAGAGTTGGCCTGCGGCGGATGCGTCGCGAGCAGACACGCGTTGATCAGCATGACGGTGCCCATGACGCCGGCGCCGACGACGAACGACGGCTGCCGGCCGATGCGGTCGATGAACCAGAGGAGGAAGATCATGGAGAAGACAGTCTTGACAATGCCATAGACGCCTGAAGAGTCAGCGGCACGTTTACAGAAAGCTATGGTCAGACCTACCGGTTGCAAACAGGCCGGTCGAAGAGGACTTGACCCCGACTTCTTGGAAGAACTGAGGCGCGTACTAGAAACAGTCAGCCGGAACACTGACTGATTGCTCGATAGCCACATGCATAGGTAAACACAATCGTCCCGCTCAGCTGCTAGCACACCATGACCGCAAACCCCAGCAGGACACGTTTCCGATTCCCCGGCAGCCACATCTCCTTGACCTGGACGCCGTCCGTCTCGATGAGCTCGGCCTCGACTCTCGCCTTGATCTCGTAATACTCCTCCATCGTCTGCAGGCTGGGCGTCGACTCGTGACGGATGTAGGTAAGGTTCGCGAGCGCCGTCTCGTAGCGGCCCTTTTTCATCAGCCAGCGCGGCGACTCCTTGAGCGGGATCATGCCCAGCAGAAGGCCCACGGCGGGGATAATCTGCAGCACGACGGGGACGCGCGACTAGTTGTGGCCGGAGGCGGGCAGGCGTTGCTGGCAGGCGTAGTCGACCCAGTAGGCGACGGCGATGCCGAAGAAGATGAAGAAGCCGTACAGGGTGACTGCCAGGTTAGCAAGCCATCAATTTCAACACAGGGGTAGGGTTCGACGTACGCAATTTCCCACGAATCTTCTTCGGGGCTTGCTCGCCGACATACGTCGGCACCAGCATCGACGCCGCCCCGACTCCCAGCCCGCCGATGACCCGGCCGACGTAGAGCAGGCCCAGCCTGCCGGCCGAGACGGTCTGCATGATGGAGCCGATGGCCATGACGAAGCCGGGGAGCATCAGGCCGAGGCGGCAGCCGAGGCGATCGGTGCCGTAGGCCATGAACAGCGAGCCGAAGAAGCAGCCGGCCTGGAGGGTGGCAACGACGTTGCCCTCGACATCGGCGAGGTTGGCCGGGGTGATGCCAAAGCCGCGCTGGAAAGAGGGGAGGGTGACGGCGCCGCCGATGAAGCCGGTGTCTGACAGCAGTTAGGTCGACAGACAGACAGAGAGGTAGGTAGGTAGCTGGCTAGATCATAGATGCTTTGAGACTAACCATAGCCAAACAGAAAACTGCCCAGACAGGCGGTGAGGTGAGGACGTAGATGCGGTAGTTGAACATGACCTGCTCCCTACTTCTCTCTGCTGGAGTGATTTGCAGCGCACAGTGGTCGTGCAAGAAACGTCCCCTAAGAAGGCATTATATCCAGGATAACACAGACAGGTCGATAGTCGATAAGTCGACAGGAAGATATGAGATACAACCTGAGATGACAGATACTACCATAGAAAGTGATTAATAACGGCTAATATATGGACAGGGCAGTCTACCAGAAATAGCTGCAGAATACAGAGTAGAGACTAGTAGCTTACGGGCATGCGTCCGCCTTGCTACGGCGTCATTGGAGTCCACTCAGACAATATACAGTACAGATTACGATATGTTACATTACTGTACTTACTTCTTCGCGGAGCACAAGTGGAAGGATAGGAACGGTGTCATTGAATGCGGACAAATCGAGTATATTCCTGATGACGACGATGACGACAATACATATGCAGCTAGAAACAACCTAACCATTCTCCATACGATACAGTGAACTATCAATAAAAACCGCAGATAGCAAATATAATACAGAAGACGGAGAACGGTGTTCAAACCGGGTTTAAAAGAACGGCAAAGTGGATCGGGTTTACCCCATGGGGGGAGATGTTGGGTCGGGGAGATATAAGATATATAGATGCCCGTGGGGGTTACCCCCACGCTCATGACGAGTAACGGGGAAGTATCTGCAGGAATACTACGAATGATTTGAGGGGGTTTCGTGCTCTGCTTTCTATGGTGCTCTGCTTTCTATGGTACCGTGCATACAGTGATTAACAGTTACATTAGGACCGTTTAGAATTTACCGTAGCAGATACACCCAATAAAATAGTCGTCTATGTTTGTCCAGCAGTCTTTTTCTTTTGCCTGTCATTTTAAGGTAGACTTTTAAGAAACATTTAACGTATTTGGAGACATAGACTTCTGTTTCTACAATGTTTAATGTTTTTGTCTTGTTAGAATATAGCTTTCGCGTGTGACAACCTCAAATTATTATCGAATTATTACGTAGATACTTGAGATAGATAGACAGATAGTCATTAAAGTTGGAGTCCATAAAGCAGAGTAATTCCTTTTGTTTTCTTACAGCTGATCAATATTACCAATTTGCAGGACAGATTAAGGGAATATCTACCAGCTAGGCCGAGTATCAGAGATAGTACTGTGATAAAGTATTCAAAATAATACCTCCGAAACATAAGGGAATAGCTTACCATTTCTCAATCCCTAGTAGTATTTTGTAAAGGCGTGAAACGATACACTCCATGTGCATATCGATGAGTATGTACATACATTCGATTATAACGAGGTTAAGAGGACAAACCCATCTATCTCATTCCAGCTCTTTATATACACTTACATCTACATATCCTGTTATTTGCCTCCAGCAACCCTGCTATCCCTCAACCTTCGATCCACACCCATGACAATTGCATAGATAGTGTCCAGGGTCGGCGTGCTCAGCCCCAGCTCCTTCGACTTGCGGAACGGATAGCCCAGGATGGCGTCGACCTCAAGCGGGCGGCCCTCCTTGTAGTCAGTCTGCATGCTGCTGCCAATGCCCGGCATGCCGAGGATGCGGTTGATAAGCTTGTCGACGATGTCGTCGTCTAGCGTCGACACGCCGCACGCGCGCCCGACGGCGATGACCTCATGCATCAGCCGGCGCGTGATGGGCATGGCCTCGGGCGACGAGTCCAGCCAGGACCGCGTGTCCAGCAGCGTCAGCGTCGTCAGCGAGTTCCACGCCGCGTTCCAGACGACTTTCTCCCAGCGCTGGCGCTGGATGTCGTCGATGGCCTGGAAAACGGTGCCGCCGGCGGTGAGGAGGCTGGCAAAGGTGTCGAGGCGGGAGTGCTCGACGGACTGGTCGGCGCTGTCGTTGGGGAACAGGCCGATCTGCATGTTCTCGCTCTTGGTATGCTGGACGAGGCCGGGCTCGACTTGTGTTGCGCCGGTCCAGGTCTAATAAGTCAGTGCCAGTCGTCTAGATACTGCTACTGCTGCTGCTGCTGCTGCTGCTGCTGCTGCTGCTGCTGCTAGACATACCACACAGGTAATGATTGTGCTACGCGGATACGCCTTGCGAAAAGGCTCCTCGTTCCCGACGCCGTTCTGGATGAGCACGATGGTCGTCCGGTCCTGGTCGATGACGGGCGCGAGCTGCGCGACGGCAGCCTCCTGGTCGATGGCCTTGTGGGCGCAGACGACGTAGTCGTATGTCTGGTTTGCTTCGGCGGGGGTTCTGACGACTGGGGCAGTCAGTTGACGCAAAGATATCCTTTCTGAGTATGGAGAACGGACCTTTGAAAGGAGTCACCGTGTGGCGGCCATGATTCTGGCTGTCGATAATGAAACCCTGAACATATTCATCATCAGCCAGTTCTGTGTAACCAGGTACAATACATCTAGGTAAAAGACAAACCCTGCTCTTCACAGCATCATAATTCGACCGCGCCACGACCGACAACCGGACGCGGTTCGAGCGACTGAGGATAAAGGAGTAGAAGGAGCCGATTCTGTAGGACGATTAGGATAAAATCCTCTTTCCGGAAGGTTGTTGGACCTACGCTCCGAGACCGAACAGCAGGACGTCGATCTGCTCGTCGCTCATGGTCATTAATAAGAGCGAGGAGCGATAGATAAATCAGTCGAAGAGCGGGATGAGGGGAATTCAGCTCAATGTCAGCTCAGCAGTATCAGCTGTCGTCTTTCCAGGGGAATAAAAAGCTGTATCTAAATGCTTTCAATAAATCTGACAACAACAGATCAGCTCTTTTCCTTAAATTGACCCCTCAAGCTGAGCTAGCTGTATATCTGACAGACGGGATTCTTCCCCCGCGGGGCAGCGTGGGGGTTGACCGTTGGCGTGGGGTTGGTTTCTTTCAGATGATCGAGAAGAGTTCCAGGCTAAATTAATTGTTAGTTAAATGTACGTGCATAGACAGGTGTCAATTCTGCCGAAGATCGATATTCTGGCCAATTATGACAAGCTTTTTCTCTGTTTTTTCTGTTCTGTTTCGGTGATGTTATTCGACGAGGTGGAGAGCTGGGTTCGCGGAGAGAAGGCCGAAAGACCACTCTTATGGATATCAATGACATTTTCACGTGCAAGTAACTACTCCATAATGAAATATATCTATGGGTTGTACTTTTTGCTGTATTATTATTCTTTGTTTTTTGTTTTTATTTTGTTTATTTCCCTTTATTCCCTACTAGCATGATCCATACAGATAGCGATATAATATAATATACATCTGCCAGACGATCACGTAATCTCAAGCTATTGTAGACCTACATCATCATCAAGAATATGCTAGTCCATTGGCGACTCTACAACCTCGCATACGCAGTAAGATCCCTCTCCAACCTTGCCGTATTGACCATGCCCCGGTCGATCTCCGCCACCGTCGTCGCCCCCACCAGCGCCATATTGGTCTCGATCTCCTCGCGCAGGATCTGCACCATGCGCCGCGTGCCCGCCTCGCCGTAGCCGGCCGCCATGCTGTAGAGGAAGGGCCTTCCGAGCCCGACGGCCGTCGCGCCCAGGGCCAGCGCCTTGATCACGTCGGTGCCGCGCCGGATGCCGCCGTCGATGAAGATCTGCATGTCTTTGCCGAGGATGTCGGGCGCGAACTTGTTGATTTCGAGAAGTGTCAGGAGGGGGGGTTGGGCTCTGCAGTTGAAATAGCGTTAGTATTGTTCAGACGTATTTAACTGAGCTGCGTCTTATACATACGTATCTTGGGATCGCCCCCCGTGGTTCGACAGGACGATCCCTTGGACTCCGTGCTTATACGCCAGAACCGCGTCCTCGACACATTGAATCCCCTTGATCACCAGCGGCAGATCGGTGATCTGGCGGATCCACGCAATCGTGTTCCAGTCGAGGTAGGGCGAGACGGTGCTCGACAGAGTTTTGGCAATGCCCTGGACTGGCTGGCCTTTGCCGCCAATGATCTTGTTTTGTTCGCCGACGTCAACATTCGCCTTGAGCCGTTCGTCGCGCTCTCGCTTCCCCGTCACCGGCGAGTCCACCGTCAGCCAGATAGCGCTCACGCCGGCCTGGACAGCCCGGCGAATCGTCGCCTCGGACTGCTTCATGTCCTTGTGCATGTACAGCTGGAAGAAGATGGGCTGGTCAGACCTGGTGCGGGCCTGCATGATGCTCTCGATGGACATGCTCGAGCGGGTAGCCACCAGCTGGGCGAGGCCCTCCTTGCCTGCCGCGGCCGCGAGGGTACATTCGCCGCCAGGATGGGCGAACTTGGCGATTCCAACGGCGGAGATGTACACGGGCAGCGAGACGGGATGGCCCAGGATGGTCGTGCGCGTGTCGATCGAACCGACGTTGCGCAGGATGCGCGGCCGCAGCAACACCTTCCGGTAGGCGCGCTCGGCCTCGAGCTTGGACACCTCGTCGTCTGCGCCGGCAGCGTAGTAGGCCCAGGCGTTTGGCGGCAGATGGCGTTCGGCCACGGCTTCAAAGTCGCGCAAGTTGATGAGGCTGCTGAGGGGGGGAGGGCCGTCAGAAGTACTGTTGGTGGACGCACCCTGCTCAGACGTGGATTTGGATTGCTCGAGACTCGACACGTCGACTTCCCCTTTGAACGCAGACGGCGGCAGCGTCTCCTCAATCAGCTGAGGCGGGTGAATGGCATCGTAGTCGGCCGTGGCATCGCGACCAGCGCATTGCAGGATAACGCGGGCGCCGCCGGGATGGTCATCGAGGAAGGCTGCGCAGAAGCAAGCAAGCAAGTAAGCATCAGCATGCATTTCTATGAAAGCCACATATATATAGAGGTATATACACACCTGTCACATCATACACCTTCCCTCTGACAACAATCCAGCACGACTCTGGGGAATTGTGCTGGGCGACTTCTTTGCCGTCGAGGAGCGCCATGCAGGCAGAAGAAGGAAGAGATGGATCATGCAGGGAAATACTATATGAAGATATTCGACTATGTTATGTCCTTACAGGTCAGAAATAATATTAACAAGCAACGACACGTCCGTATGCACATCTTGAAGATAGTTGTAGATTCTCGACCGGACTTCCTCCGCATTTCGGATCCGCTGCCAGCTAGTTAGCGTGGGGGAGCTGCGTACACTGTACTGTATTGTATTACGGTATTGCAGGATACCTATCTAAGAACACAACAGATAAATATTTAAAGAATCCAATGGTAAATAGGAGTAATATACCTATGGAAATCACCAAATTAAGACGAGAGTTATGATGAATAGCTCTGAGCGAAAATTGTCGCGAAATATCATACTGTCTATATTCCAGCAATGCTCGATTCCATGCTGTATTACGGAGTACTTTACTGCTTCCCCAGACTCTGCTAGCGTGGGGGCACCCGCTGGCGGGACCGGATAAATTAAAATAGAATAAAAGAATGGGATATATAGCCAAGTCCAGCGCAGAGTACATTATTAGCACAGAAAGTTGCTGCTTACTGCATTCTGATATATGTCATCTAACAGTGTAATTTTATCATCTCAATGTCTCAGTTTCGTCGAGTCAGAAATAACTTCTGCCCTGAACTGCTGTATTTTCTATACTCACTATGATGAATGTTGTTGTGTAAGGATAGTTTTTATAGATAGATATATATATCTATATATTTGTGGATAGGGTCTCTACTATGGTGTAATCCACAGCCAGCCCACTAAAAGAGGTCTACTCCATAACGGTTGGACTATCATTACTGCGAGTATTTCTGTGGCGAGAGACTGTTGACTTCCGAGAGAATGACCACTCGAACCAGGTTTCTGGACGACATCACATTAATGCTATATATATCATGACTACATGTTCACGACTCCCCACGACTCCGCACAAAATGCAAAATTTTCGAAAGATCGCTTTGACCACTCTACCAACTCGTCGGCCCAAACGTCTGGCCGTCCGCCAGAGTGATCTGCTTCGCCCCGTCCGACGCATCCAGCGTGTTGGCCGCGATCTCCGTCCCCCACCACGACGGGAAACTCGTGCCCGTCAGCTGCAGCGTCACGAAGATTAAGATCGTGCACAGCGCCAGCCCGACATCCAACCCCGCCGAAAACACGTAGTTGTACTGCATCCACCACCCCCGCCACCGCGTCTTGATGTACTTGTTGAACACAAACCCCACGATCCCCCAGCTCAGATAGTTCAGCGGCGTCGCTGGCGGGATGAGTCCCGCGCCTCCGAAGATGATGGGCGCGCTCAGGTACCGGATCGGGCTCTTGGGGAACGCCCGCGCCCCCAGGTAGATCAGCACCGGCAGGATGAAGCCCGCCAGGAAGAACCACAGCATGGGCGAGTACAGCGCGCCCGGCGAGAAGATCCGCTGCGGCCCGATCGCACCCCAGATGATCGACGCGTTGAAGAACACCCGCCCGTTCGGGCAGCTGAAGTGGCTGACCTGGTCCTGAGAACACACGTCCTTGATCGCCGATAGCGCCCAGTTCATCACCGCGATCTGCACCACCGACGTCCACAGGCAACTGACCGCCTGCGCCGCAAAAGTGACCCGCGGCGGCACCTTCATGTAGTGGCCCAGCTTCATGTCCTGGCAGAAGAACAGCCCCTGGTACATGCTGATGTAGCCGTACGTCTTGAACAGCATCATCGCCATCGGCCGCCCCGGCTGCATGTATCCGACGATGAACTCGGTGAACACGTTCAGCCCGATCTGGATGTTGGTCGTCGCCTGCACGATCCCCATGGGCACAAACCACACCGCCGCGATGATGAGGCTGATGAAGAACGCCCACCAGGACATGTTGGTCGGATAGCCCAAGACGACTCCGAGGGCCATGGCGATCATGATCAGGGTCAGAGCCGCATACCACCACAGCGGGACAGGCTTGAACCGTGCCATCAACCGGGCGTGGATGTCCTCCTCCTCGTTTCCGAATTTCTTGAACCGAATCCAGAGGTCCTGGCCGTGGAAGAGAATCGTATGGACGATCACCGCCACGATGGTGGCAAAGGACAGCCCGTACGACAGCATAAAGGACGTGGACAGGAACAGGGGCGAATACGACTTGTACTTTTCCAAATCAAACCGGCCCTGGTCATCCAGGATCCGACTGACATTGTACATGTTGCCGGTATTGTCATAGCTGTTCGAGTCGCTGATGGGCAGGTACTTGGAATAGAAGAGCCCCTTGAAGTGGATGGCCGCCGCGACGATCCAGTAGAAGACGACCATGCCGATCAGCGTGTTGGCGATACCGAACCACGGCGTGATCAGCGGGCTGAAGTTGAAGCCCGAGATCTGCGTCCAGTCGAACGTTATGGGAATCAGTGACAGGCCCGTCCAGCCGCCAAAGAGCTGGTTGATCACCACGTTGTTCGGCCGGATCCAAGTCACCCAGGCAAAAACGCTCAGGAACGGAGCAATATACCCCGGGAAGAAGTACCAGACGAACGATGCGATCATGGTGTAGAGGAAGAGTCGGTATTTGCCGATCGTCCATCCCGCCGTCTTGGAAGGATCCGGCCGGCTGCGGTCGTGCAGGGCTGTGAAGAGACTGGTGTTGATCAGGTTGGCGGGCCAGATCATCGCGGCCGGCTGGACCAGGAACCGCGTGAAGAAACCCGCCAGGCCGAAGCCCAGCATCTGGCTGGAGATGCACATGAAGATCTCAAAGGGCCAGCCGAACCGCTGCTTGTAGAAGGCGCGCTGCGACAGCAGCACGTCGGTGGCGTAGGCCGCACCGCCGTTGAAGCTGGCATTGGCCATGAGGACGGTGATGGTGTGTTCCTTCTTGCTGAAGGGGCCCGGGTTCAGGTTGCACGGGATTCCAAAGAAGCTGAACTTGATCGCCGGCATCCACTTGGCCCAGGCCACCCCGAGGGGATAGGCGACGACTAAAACGATGATGATTAGCATATATATATATATATATACCTTCATTCGATTGTCCAACTTTGACGCACCCTGGGCCACGTAAGACGGGATAACAATGTAGGGGTCTCGCATGGAGAACAGCATATTGCAGGCCGATCCAATGGTGGCCAGGACCATGCCGATCACCCAGGCGCGAATGGTGTTGGAGTGACCTCCCTCGTCGTAGTTGGGCACGGCCGCGCGCACCTCGGGGTAAGGCGAGTTGTCGAGCAGCTCTCCGGCCACGCCGACTTGGGCATTTGGATCAGTCGTATGGAGCGCATCATCGATTTCGTCAAAAACATCCTCGGGCAGATTGGGGTCCCAATGGTGTTGTTTCTTGAGTTTCCTGAGGTGGTCGACCGCCTCATTGGCATCCGCCACGGCCGTCGCCGCGGCCACGGCGGGCTGAGCAGACTTCTCCTCCATGATCCGACAGGTATGGCCAGTTGGACGTTGCCCGTCAGGAGGTCAGACAGGGGGGACCTGGCACGGTGTGAGAAAGGAAGGGGGGGGGGGGGAAGGAGAATGGACGATCAATCGGATGAGCGGCTTGCTGCGCTGATATATACCCCAGAGAGCAGGAACCAGGCCACGCGACGGTGTATCCACCCGCTTGACAGGACCGCAGGGATTCGTATGTTCGAGGGGGTCGTGTCCAATACGACCGTCGGCTTCCCGATCCTTATCTCACATGTCGCCCGATCTTTTGTTAGTCTGGTTCATTGAGCTTGTTCGTAGTCCGTGCGTCATGATGCGGCATCCGTCCAATTGTCAAGAGCCCGTAGCGCGAGGCCCGTCTACTAGCATCGAAGATGTAACCCCAGGGTTGGATCTAGGATATTTCGACATCCCTGATAAGCTTAGTGGCGCTACGCCGAGGGGTTCTTAGACGCGCTTCCCAGGGAACAGTCCATAGCCAGCCAGGTGCACGCATGACATAACAGTTAGTTGCCCACTCCTACCTCGGCTGCCCGCGTGCAGACTTGCAATCAACCGACTGAATTGCTGCGCGAGCTGATTCAAAGGCGTTGAGTTTGGGGGGGGGGGGGGGACAA